AGAGAGAGAGAGAGAGGGACTTACATGACATGCAAGAAATTTTATTTTATTCTTATTATTAATGCATGACTAACATACAAAACATAATGCACAAAATACCAGGAATTGGCAGAAATATTCATCATATTACTGCAATTGGCAAAATGAATCTTTACTTTCCTAATTTTGGCAAGAGGCAATGAGATTGAGATCCTCCAGCCCTGCCTCACATGTTGCAAGGAACTATATGTGCTCAATGACATGCACAAAGAGATAGAAGCAAGCTGCTTAGGAACTATTCTTGTTTGGATCTTGTCCCTTTTCTTGAGGGTAAGGAAGTTGTTCCTTGCAAAGGATTCTCACAGTGAAACAATGCAAGACTAGGGAATCAAAGCAGATCTTGTTATTCTGAGGAATAATCAAACTGCCTGTTGTTGCAAAGAGAAATACTTGAAAAAGCGAGAGAGATTTCAAGGAGACCTGAGCGCCTGCCATGCATATGAAATCCCCATAACGCGTGCCCATGGATCTTTCTTTGGTTAATAATAATATATGCTTTAAGTTGCAGTCTTTTATTGAAATTAATTAAGCTCATTCCAAGTAATAGGATACTCAGATGCTGATTGTTTGAGTTGCCATTTTTCAAGAAGATTAATCAATCTATATGATACCCATACATATAAAGAAAAACCATGAGCTCGACATCCAGCCGAAAAAGGCAAAAGTCATAGTGCCATACATATTAACACAAACTTATTGCTTCAGGACACAACACAAGGTATTTTCTCATTTTATTAAGGACGAGGTAACTCAAAGGAGTAATGAAGCCTCCTTAAATTTGCATTGATGAATCAATTAGTAGCATGCACAAAGGTGACATGAGGAATGTTTCTAATTTTCAGAAAGCAAGCAAAGAACAGCTGACATATATTCTGCACTATATTATCACTCTAGTAGAGGTATCCTAGAGCACTAGGGTATCTAGATCATTAGTATAACTATATAGTAAATATTCACTTAGTCATGAGTGTTATGAGGGGATTTTAGCGGTCCACTAAGTACCAGACAAGTCAAGGAGGCTTCCATAGCTACATGGGCCTATTGGTTATCATGGTAACGATATCATACTTTAGTTCTTCACATAGTCTGATGAACAGGCCTTGTTTAATGATAACCGAGCTGGCTACCATAATCACCACCCCACTGGTTATGGTGTCTTTCTTGGCTTCTTTATGGTATCTTAGAGCCACAAGAAGAAATACTGGGGTTGCCAGGTTAAGGGCTAAGACTGCGTTTTTGCTAGGGCTGGCAATGGGCTGGTTGGTTCGGTGCAGCCCAATTGGTCTGGCCCTAAAAGACAGGGCCCTGGACCACAAAATATCCCAAGAGCCAGGGTCGGGCCACCACGGTCCAAGGAAAGGGCAGGGGTGGGCCAGGTTGGGGCCAAGTCAGCAACATGGCTAGCCCGGTTCGACTTACCCAACCCTTTTCTCTTAATGCTTTTTTGTTTACTTCTATTATATTTGGCCTGGCCCTGATAGGGCCAAGGCCTCTTCGGCCCTGTTAGGGTAGGGCCGGGCTAGGGCTAGGGCAAGGGGCAGGGCCAGCTTTCCCTAGGGTATGTGATATTAACTTTCTTGTTTTCAAAAAATAAAAAATAAAAAAGATAGGGTCAGTCCGGATCGAGCTCGGCTTGGTCATTGCCCATATCCCAGGCCCCGCTCCAACACTAGATCTAGATTTCAGGCTTGGGTCAGGACCCCGGAGCCCAAGCTGTTCAAAGTCGGGCTGCCGACCCATTGCACCCTTCGTTTTTCCCCATGCTATCAAAGTCATCTAATTTGAGTGGTTTTGCAATGAGAAAAGTTCTTGTGGTTTTTTCATGCAAGTGAAGTTATTCTTATGCTTATCTGTATTTAACTTGCTCTTACCCCGTGTACCCCAATTCGTGTCTTCCATCTTTCAACCCCAAGATAAACCAATTTAGCAGAGTAAGATTTCAATGATAGATGAAGTACAACAAACAAAAAATGGGAAAAGTTTATATAGAGCTGAGGCTCTAAACAATCAAATTTGAGCCTACCTCAAAAATTTCACTAGAAGAGGTCCTTTTGATCCCCAAATATCCTCAAATTGATCATCTCGACATCAAGATGCATGGACATGAGAAAAAAATAGATTTCAACTTTTGAAAATATTGTATTTTGTAACACATTTTTGGACCGTCATTCCGTCAATTTTCAGGATTTTCAAGTTTTCATAGATCTCTCGATCTACACTATTTTTAAGCTTTAAACTTTATAAATAAAGATGAAAATATATTCTAAGGCTATCAAAAAGATTTTCAGTATTGAAACCACATTTCTTAATACTAATTGACGGTAGGTTCTAATTTGATTGTTTAGAGCCTAGGCTCTATACAAACCGCACCCAAAAAAAATACATGGAATAAAATAAACCATACCCACAACCACAAAAGAAAAATTTCACTTAGCTTAGGAAACAACAAAATAAAAAAAGCTGACGATATGTGAGACATTTAAACAACTTTAGTACAATAAAAATTGACTATAGGGGAGGAATTATTGCATACCTCGACTGTTTTCAAGTTGATACGGATAAGCTCTTTTCGGCTTTCAAAGTTTGGAAGTGGAATATATATTCTTTTTTCCAGTCGTCGTCTACCATAAAATAACATCAGTCACTCCATGCAACAAAACTCATGCTAGCATTCATGCAAGATAAAACGGTAAAACCGTTTTTACATGGAAAGTAAATTGTACTTCAATGGACTATGGAAAAACCATTGCCCATTAGGCAATTACTATCCGTTGATCAGGACAGTGATGGAGAGACAGTGAGGACCACCGTAAGAGTTATGCCACACTTCTGTGGATCACTTTCTCTCCATCACCATCCATTTCAATGGACAATGGTGATCCAATGGATGACGGTTTTCCACAATCTACTGGGCCATACTTCCCCCTCTTCTATAGAAGACAAAAATCCCTCTGTCTACATGTAAAAACACCTATTGCCCTCTCATGCAGGGAGAAATAATAAACCAGAATAATAATAATAAAAAGAGGCTGAGAGAATATACCCTCTTTCAAGGTTTGCAAGGGAATCCACCCCAAAAACGATCTTTTCACGAGATCAATTTGCTCAATTCTCATTCTCTTATCTTTACAAAGAAAGGACATCTCCCTTTAAATCGACTAAAATAAGAAATAAAAGGACCCATAAAAATCTCTCTTTCTAACTTGCATGGACTTTCTCTTCTCTATCACCCTCCCACGTGAACTCTATCTCCCTATTTCTCTCACGTGAGTCTCTATGATCCTCCATATCTCTTATCTCCCTATTTTCCCTCACGTAGCCTCCATATCCTTTATTTCCTTATTTTCTCTCATTTAGCCTCCATATCTCTTCCTAAATCTTAAGTCCATAAAAGTATGACTTCTTTCGATAAGGCCAAGTTAACCCAATATATCCTGAAACGTCCAATCATGCTTAACTTATCATTTTAAAACCAACTAAGGCTAACTTATCCTAAAATCAAACACCCTAACCACAAAAAACTCACACCACACGCACCCAATTCCTATAAGGTAACCCATTTTAAAAAAATAAGAAAAAATAAATTATTTTCTTGACTTTTTTAATTTTCATCCGTGTCATTCTCCTCGGGTTGGGAGAAGCACGACCTCGAGCTTGATTCAAAGTGGATCCCCTTCATCACCATGCATGACTATTTCTTGAATTTGATATTCTTCTGGAGCTTCATCTTCTTCCTTAGCCAAGTGTACCTCCATCCTCTTTTTTGGGCATTCATATGCACGGTGTCCTGGTTCGTTGCATCGATAATACGTAATCTTTGCAGTATCCTTTTTTTTCTTCATTAAATTTTGATTGGCGTGAAACTTCCTTCTGGGTGTGAAATCGCTTATCGGTGCTCTATTGGTATTTAGTCTCTACTTGTAAAGCAATTTGAAAAGCTTTACTTAAAGTCCATGGCTGATGGAGAAAAAAATCATCCCTAATGGTTGATTGAAGGCCATTTACATATCGAGCAACCTTTGGTCCTTCTGTCTCTTGGAGATTATTTCGAGCAACTAATCAATAAAACTCCCCAGTATAATCTTCCACTTTTTTTTTTATTCTTTCAATTTCTTTTTCATCTTTTGCCAATCACTAATTTTTCCCTTCCCACTACGAAGTTAGGATTGTTGAACTTGTTCCCACCAGGCTGCAGCAACCGCGGAGCTTGGTAGCAACAAGTTTAACCTTACGTTCCTCATGAAATTTCGAGAGATCGATTTTAATATTGAAATCTCGTGGACGCTCTATGGGATGCAGATCTTATCTGCAAATTTGTTCAGGACGTTTTGGATCGGCCGCCTGGGTCAATCGGGGAGCTTGATTTGTCTTAACGGTGAGATTTAGCGCCAAGTCCACGTGGTTGCAAGAGCCCTCTTCTCGATGAATGGCATCCTCCAACCGTTGCAATCTCTGATTGGTTTCACTTATTTCTCGTCGAATACCCTCCAAGTTGTGTTCAAGCTCCATATCCTCGATTGTAAGAGCAGCATTCGGCGACATCGTAATTGATGGATCTTACTTGCTATCTTTGGATCTAACTTACTCTGAAACCAACTAATGCATGGAGAAATAATAAACCGGAATAATAATAATAATAAGGTTGAGAGAATATACCCTCTCTCAAGGTCTACAAAGGAGTCCACCCCAAAAACGATCTTTTTACAAGATCAATTTACTTAATTCTCATTTTTTTATCATTACAAAGAAGGGACATCTCCTTTTAAATAGACTAAAATAAAAAATAAAAGATCCCATAAAATTCTCTCTCTAACTTGCACGGACTTTCTCTTCTCTATCTCCCTCCTACATGATATTTATCTTCTTGTTTCTCTCACGTGAATCTCTATGATCCTCCATAGCTCTTATCTCCCTATTTTCTCTCACATAGCCTACATATCCCTTTATTTCCTTATTTTCTCTCATGCAACCTCCATATCTCTTCCTAAATCTTAATTCCATAAAAGTAGGACTTCTTTAGGTAAGGCCAAGTTACCGCAATATATTGTGAAAAGTCCAACCATGCGTAACTTATCATTTTAAAACAAAGTTTGCAAAATCGAACCAGAACGATTAACCGGACATGGGCCAGGAAGCAATTTAATTGGCTTAACTGGTAATCCGGCCGATTCAACCGCTCTAACAGGGCAAGTCCCGGGCAGTTAAAAAAGTGTTGAAAAAACATAACAAAGATATGGAAAAAAATCTACTAAAATATGAAAAGCATAAAAAGAATGATTAAAACAAAACACATTCAAATGAAGTTGAAAATTAATAAAAAAAAATGGATTTTAACGAATCGATGTATGTCTAGGGGCAGTTTTAAATTTTTTTGAAAAAGATGGGAAAATATAGAAGTGAGTATTAATGACCAAAACATTTTTTAATTTTTACCATAATGTAAAGAATATTAAAAAATGCATTACAAATCAAATTTCTTATTTTTGAGAGTTTAAGTATTTTTTTTAAATGCCAGTTGATCACCAAAACCGCCCAAACCGAAACCAGCCAATAGCCGGTTCAGGTCTAACCGGGCGGTTAGCGGTTAGATCGCTCGGTCTTGCGAACACTGTTTTAAAAAAAGCTAAGCCTAAATTATCCTAAAATCATACCCCCAAACCACAAAAAACTCACGCCACACCTACCCAATTCCTAGAAAGATAACCCATTTAAAAAAAAAAGAAAAATATGTATATTTTTTTTTTTGTGAATTTTCATCTGCATCAGCCTACCATAGCTTAAAAGCTATGGCTAACTAGACTCCTGGTTGGTGCAAATTTTACCAGCAATTCTCTAATAAAACCCCCAATTTTAAGAAAGAAAGAAAAGGTACATAAAGGATGAGCTCAACAAATCTCTACCTAAGTGCCTCGTCAATATCCCATGGAAAGTTCGTAGCTGCTAATACCATGACAATTTTCCTTCCCCCATCCTCGCCAGTAGAGCTGTTATTAACACCATCAACCTGTACTAAAAGTTCTGATTTCACCCTTCTCGATGATTCATGCTCCCCAGAAGCCCTGCAACAAACAAATTCACTCAGTGAGATAGAAAAGCTGAAAATAGGTAATAACATCTAATCCAGTTACCTTGATCCAAAAAAATGCTGAATATTTACCAAAGACACAATATTGAAGTGTTCTATAATCAAAACCATAGTTACCGGGATCTCCTACTTTGGTAGGCGATCCCTTCTAAAATCTCGATTCTGTCGCTCCCGAAACAGATCTCTAAGGGATCTCGAATTTTAAATTTTGGGATCTTGTACCCCACAGAAAAGGATCCTGATTCTTGCCGTTAGGGATCTCGATCCCAACCTTAAACACTAAAACAACAACCAAACTGATGATTTTCTTTGTTTATAGCCAACTAGCAACACAAATATTGTTTGTTTGCTATAAATAATGAGATCCCCACTTTAAAGAGTATACATAATAAGGTTGGCAACAAGATCCCTAAAATGTTGGGATCAAGATCCCAAAATGTCAGGATCAAGATCCCCAAAAGATTGGAATTTCAATCCCTGACATTCGGGGATCTCGATCCGTAACATGTGCATTGTACGGACAATGTTCCCAACCATAGGGATCTTCTAGCGTTTCACGATCCCTCGCTCCTGATCCCAACCCCAATCCCAGTACCATTCTCGCTCCCAATCCCATCAACTATGATCAAAACACTTGAGGTAGAAGCCATAAAAAAATAAAAAAATCTCAACAAATGAAATAGGGATTGTAACATCTGAGGCCTCGGAGAAATTTATATCACTGTTTGACATGAAAATCAAGTCCTTTTGTAGGCACAGTCAATTGAAACCCCGTGAATAAGAAAAGAAAGTGTATCTGCGCCCTGCCTCTTAAGCTAAAAAGAACAGTATAGTTTGCATCAGGGACTTGATATGGAAGATGTTTCCTTGCTGATAATGCAGTTTGATCGCATAACGAGCATTTCTGAATTCTGATAAATGTTTGCAATAAATGGGTGGTAATAGTTGTGGACAGAGAGTCAATGGTTGAGCAGGACAATCCATGATTCAGGTAATTTTCAATGAAATCCTGGGGATCTGAAAATCTTTATAGCAACTACAAGCACCAACTATGAAAATCGCGAAGCCAAATAATTTGCAGAAAAGTTAATAAAACCAGGGAAATTGGTGGAAAAATCCTATATTATAATTGGAATTCGGAAACATTCCCCCATAATTTATCTTTACACTCAAGTCCCACATTTTGAGAGCACGTATTGTACTGTAACGTAATATTTTTATACATCGGTTTCAGCTCAAATTTTGGCATCTATACTTCATTACACACTTGGAAAAAAATTTAAATATAATTCAATAACATAAAACAATATTGGTCATTTTATTTCTTTTAATTTTTTTATAATTTTTTATAAGCGCATGGTGGTGAGAAGTATTAACTCCCAAATTTGAGCGCAATCCAGTGTATAAAAAAATCCTATTAAAACACAATATGCACACTCAAAAGTGGAATATGAGCATAAAAATATAAAATATAAGGGGCATTTTAAACTCCAATAATAAAATGAGATTTTTCCATAAATTTCTCCCTAAAAAATAAGTTAAACCATGTTTAAAAATTAGAAAAACCAGAAAAAGGAAAGATTAGATTTGCATACCCCCGAGCATTGCAAAGGGAATCAATCTCGTCAATAAAAATTGTACTTGGAGCATACGCTCTTGCCAGATCAAACAAGCAACGAACCATACGTTCACTCTCACCACGCCATTTTGAAGCAAGTGTGGCAGAAGAAACATTAAAGAATGTTGTTCCACACTCTGTTGCCACAGCTTTAGCCAAAAGAGTCTTTCCAGTACCAGGTGGGCCAAACATTAAGACTCCTTTCCAAGGCCGACGAATACCCTGTAGATTGTGAACATGAAAAACATTAATGTTTTTTGTTTATAATAAAAAATCTCCTGCCGGGTAATTGATTTCCATCATAGTGCATTTGATTCTAGCAGAAATTTATAACTGAAAAAAGAAACGTTCGGATTTCACACGGAAAAGAAAAAAAAACTGTAGAAAATTGAACTAATAGGCCTAGCAAAATTAACATTTCCTACAAGGGATTATGGCTTCCCAGATTTTAACATTTTTACATCCTCCACCAATCAACAATAAAGCTCACCTTTCAAAAAGACAACTACCAGCAACCCAAAAAAAACACTCAGCCAAATAAAATGAATTACCTGAAAATACTCAGGCATCCACAAGGGAAGGACAACAGCTTCCTCCAAGAGCCTTTTGGCCTCACTGAGTCCAGCAACATCATCCCATCTTACTCCAGGACTGGTCTCTAGAACATCTCTTTCAAGCATTGCAGCCAAATCAGCATCAGGTCCTTCGTATTGTCCCCTTCTTGATTTCCCTTCATCTGAATCACCATTCTATCAATATCACAAACAAATTAGGAGCTAGAAAACCCAAAACACTTGGTTTGAAAAGCAAACAGTAGCATAGAAGCCAAGAACGCAAACTAGTGGGAGTTGAATAGGACAGACGTAATCACATAACAGTAAAGGAAGAAAAGAGAGGGAATAAAACAATTTGTATGACCATGCAATAAATTTATGATGAATAAATTGGACAAAGAAGTCCAAATAGCAGAATAAGAAGCATGAAATCCAGAGCAAGATCATCCATAAGTACTATTAGAAAAAAGAAAACATGCTCTCCTTTGTATATGCTATTTATATATCAACAGCATATTATTCCGTGCTCATACAATATTTATCAGTCAACAACATAGACATTGTTTATATGTCAACATAGTTATGTATATGTCAACAATATCCACAAGTACATATTATGAAAAAGAATACATGCTAAATCGCTTCAACTTCTAGAAGAAAAGAAAGAGACGAATGAAAAACACATGAAAAAAGTCTGTTTCATTGTGCATAACCGCAAAGAACAAATGCCTGACTTCTCCAACTTACTCGGAGTCTTTACAATCACAAGGATATCAAAAGAACATGAAAAATCAGAATAAAATTTTTTATGATTAAATTGTAACAATGGAAAAAAAAACATCCTTTCCCTTGATGGGTATCTTAGAAAACAACTCTTAGAGTGACAAAATTTACCCCTGAATCTGCCTTGGACTTGCCAGCACCAGCTCCTTTTTTCCCAGGAGGTCCTGAACCTCGAACCCCGGCCTTCCCTGAAGTGCCCGTAGCATTAGCCTTTGCTCCACGACCAACTGTTCCAGTCCTAGACGACCCACGGGCCCACGTTGCATCTTGATTAGACTTCCTTGAAGAGGCCATTTGGCCAGCACGTGTAGACCTCCTACTACCATATTGTTGCTGAGGATCTCGATTAGGTGGCCTCCAAACATCAGGATCATCTATAGGAGCACTTGAGAAAGGTGGGCACTCGTCTACCGGTTGAAATAGAAAAGACTTAGTTCGAATTGGTGGTGAAGAAGATCGCCTTGTTCCAGGAACTTCATTAAAAGCTCTTCTTTCTGCATCCAACTGCTTTACAACATCTACTTCTTCAGAGAGTCCTTTCTTGCAGTTCATCCATTTTGAACGAATCAATGGGTCATCAAGTGTGGTCAGATACCTGACAACATGAAAGCAACATCAAAATGATGTGAGACTTATGGGGAAACAATAAAAATGAAAAATGAAAAATGAAAAACAGAATGGTAAGCCAGCATCAATGACCCAAAGCAAAGGTGTGCAAATCAAGGGCAAAGAATCCACTCCCAAGAACATATGAACAATCAAGTCCTACCGAGTTCATTTTCTGTGGACAGTAATTAGGTACTAGCAAGTTTCATTTACACCTCTGTTATTCTTACAATATTTGAACTACCAACTGTCATGAAGCCTATAACTGTATACAAACCAAATGACGACAGAGAAATAAACACATTTCCATAGCCATTGCCTTGTGTTGGATTCCCATCGACTAGCACAGCACACAAAAGTAATACATCATAGTGATTGTCAAATATTCGGAATACGGAATTTATAAACATGCATACAAGTAAAGCACAAACAAGGACGGCAGCTTGAAAATTGGAAAAATAAGCACTTCGGTTGAGGCATTAAATTCAGTTTAACTTAGTTTATTTAGCATGTCACCATCTATAATTAAGAATATTCCAACTTTTATTGTTGCATCTCCCTACAATTATGGATCTGTGCCCATCTAAGAATTTATGCACATTACACATACAAAGAAATCAAATACCATGAAAATTTTGTTGATTGGCTGTTGATGGTTCGTCTAATCGGCTCTTTATTGGTTGCTGACTGATTCTCTATGAATCTAACCATCTAAAGAGGTTATGAACATCAACACATATAACAAATCAAACAACCAAAAACAGTTTACCTATTGATTCTTTATGGGTTGTCTAATTGGTTCCATTGGAACCAGATAAACCGGTGCGACATAGATCAATAAACCTATATGAACATCGATATAGTATGCTTCCCATAGTTAACTCAAATTTGATAGGACCTTCCCCTGCAATCAATTGATCAACCCAAGAGGAGAAGAACAAGAGCCATCCATTGTTACGATGACAACTCCAAACCAACCAGCCTAGATTTCCAGATAATACCCTCAGCAAAGTTCAGCTTTAGGAACACATCACAATACCTATTTTTCTATGATAGATAACAGTTAGGTAAAAGAACCACTTCTAGAAATAACCCACAAGAAGAACAGAAAAAGAAATAAATTTGGAAACAGGAGAGAAAGAAAAAGAAACGCTAGGGTGCTATCACTCTTAAAATCTTTGGAAATTGAATGTATATAAAATCTCTAGTCAACATTTCAGAAGCAATTTCCCATAAGTTTGCATTAGAGAGAGACAGAGAGAGGGAGCGATAGAGAGGGTTAAGAACTGTTGGTCATCCTACATAACAAATTTCTTAAAATTTTTGAAGAATGCAGAAACTCAAATGGAATTTCCCCCAGGAAAATCACACAGTGATCCAATTTCAGTCACAGTCAAACAGAGCATGAAATCAAAGAAAAAGTACAGAAAACTAAAACGTCACGAGAATCTAAAAGAAGATAAAATTGAATGCAAGTGCTTAGAGGAAGTACTTGTTGATTTGAGCAATGGCGCCATCAAAGAATATAATAGAAGTGTCATATAGGCCTTCCAACGCATATTCCCTCGCCAATTTCACATGATCTTGTAATCCAGAAAGAGCTCCCACCATATTGAAGCTATGAAGGAAGAGAGAGAATGATAAGATCAGAGTTTCAGTATGTTAGGGTTTTAAGAGCTCCAAAGACGCCTAAAATGGTGCATTTGTGCCAGAACCTCTTGAATGAGGTCAAGCAATAAAATTAGAGTAAGGGTTTTAGAATAATAAGGTACTTGAGAGCTCAAGGTATGATTTCAATGGCGATTTCCCTCGAAATTCAGGTATTTATAAAAGGAATTCGTCCGTTGTTGCAGAAGCAGCATCCTCCACCTCTCTCTTTGTGACAAGTTTTTAGTTTTATTTTTTATTTTTTAAAATGTGCTTAAAGTATGTGTAGCAACGGCCCGGTCCTTGGCCCTGACCCTATTAGAGATGGGCCCAGAGCAAAACTAAATAAATAAAAAATAAAATAAAAACGTAAATAAATAAAATGTTTTGTTAGGCGTTTATCCAATTGTATACTAACTTTAAACGGTTGTTTAGGGGTGTAGAACTTTAAACCACTGTTTAGGGGTGTATGGTCGGCCTTTATTCAAAATAAGTGGTATAGAGCGTTAAACTATTTAATATTTTTAGATATTTAGATACCTTTATCCAATAGTATGAATTTTAAGTAATTACTCAAAGGTAAACTAAAAATTCTTAATAGAAACAAAAACATTTATTAATAATAATAGGCAATGACATCTCTGATATGGTGTGTGACATCGATTACTAGATGTATTGATTATTTTTAACTATAAATAGAATGCTATTATTTTTTATAAAAATATCCCTTATATCTTTCTAACCGACCAAAAATGCACTTATTTGAAAAATTTTATATTACAATTCGATGGTATTTTAATGTTAAAAAATATTGAGCACTTTAAGTGTCTATATCACCGGATGGTGTAGCCTAACAAAACCCATAAATACATAAAGATGGGCTGAGCAAAATCGGATTAACAATCGGCACTAATGGGACCTGGCTGGCCCACCGGTAGGGTTGGCAACGGTTGGGCCTAGCTAGACTCAAACCCGCACCTCAATACTATATATGCCTAGGTTTTAAACCCAAATCTAACTTTTCCTATCCAAAAATAAAACTCATACCCGGGTCCAATATCGGGTCTAGCCATCCAATCATGGGTTTGGTCGGGTCCGTTGCCATCCCTAACGGGCAGCCAATCAAAAAGGAATCGATTTGGGTTTTTGGTAAATATTACGAAAATGACCTTGGCTTGTTTGTAAAGAGTAAAGAATCGTGGCTTTTTACGGAAGCACCCTTCCCGATGATTTATTTGAACGTTGACGGCTCAACTGTTATTCCTTTATTTTGGGAGAAAAAGCAGTTCCATTTATTTCAAAATTTTTAAGAAAATATTCGGCATTCTTTTCCAAATAAAATATGCACAGATTTTTATCCGTTGAAAGTTGAAACAAAAGAAAGCTGGTAGCGAACAAGTGATCGCAGGAGTTATTTCATTTTTTCACTTTTTAGAATTAGGTGGAGTCAAGTGGAACCGTTCACACATAAATTTACCTCAGGATTGGGTTTCTATGAGTCACTCGTATAAACATATGCGTCCTCTCTCTATAATATACCTCTTAAAGATGGATTCTTTATCTAAATTTTTGCGGATTTATGGTCTAGGCCAAGGTGATCATGAATATAAAAAATATATAATTTTTATATCTAAAATATGCCCTTTTGGGGAGTTTTTTTTTTGGGAAAAGTTTATATAGAGTCGAGGCTCTTAACAATCAAATTAGATCTTACCTCAAAAATTTCACTAGAAGAGGTTGGTTTGATGCCCAAATATCCTCAAATTCATCATCTGGACATCAAGATGCATGGACATGAGAAAAAAAAAAATGGATTTCAAGTTTTGGAAATAGAGTATTTTGTGACACATTTTTGGACCATCAATTTTCAAGATTTTCAAGTTTTCATATATTTATCAATCTATTTTATTTTTTAAGCTTTAAACTTTATAAGTAAAGATGAAAATACATTTTAAGGCTATCACAAAGGTTTTCGGTATTGAAACTACATTTCTCGATACTATTTGAAGATAGGCTCTAATTTGATTGATTAGACACCCTTTTTTTTTTTTGTACTATCAATAAGGAAATTTTGTTTGGGACATTGTATATAATGTCGGACTTACATAAAATTTTTTCTTTACCTAAATATCCTTTCAAAGAGGGCAGTTAAGGAAAGGGAAAATTATAGTGCCCCCCAAACCTCAACTCCACTTTCTATGCATTGCCCTCTCAATAATTTTTAAAGTTTTGTTGAGGTACTCATAAACATGGAGTATTTTTTTAATACACTCAATATTTACTAGACACTTATTACCCTCTTTATAATAGAAAATTTTTCATATATGGGTAATTTTCATCATTAGTAGGGGTAGAGTACAAATTTCTATAAACAAACTAGTCTCATTTTATTAATAGTTTAAAAGCAATTAACACTCTATGTGGGTGATGGATGATATATTCATCAACTATAGTTAATAAATATTTTTCTCCACTATAGTTAATAAACGATTTTCAATCAAAAAAAAATTTACTTTGCCTTTGATAAATGACCTAAAATAACTTTGACAAAAAAATTACTACATTGTGGGGTAATCAATTGTCCAAAACTGCTAAGCATATTAAAAAAACACTCATTTTCTATGAGTCTCCTAACAAAACTTTTTTTTTACCACACGATTAACTCCAGTGCTATTTATTTTTTAAGTAGAATGCGCACATGTCTATACATACGTTATTCCCAAACATGTCAAATACAGTCTGATTTGTCTAAGAATGTGTCCAAAACTTATATTTAAAAGTCAGAAGAGGTGGGTTCCGTCAAATTTATGTGTAGCGAAGAAATCGGCATTAAAAAACCTATTCTTTGGAAAGTTGTGGGCATGGGTTTGTGTAAAATCCAAAAATAAATGTAGAAGTAAAGAGAAAATACGAATAATAGATTTGAAATTAATAAAGAAAGTCAAAATTTGGAACAAAATAGCCTAGAAGCCAGGCCCTCATGCCTAGAACTCAGCATTAAGTCTGGATCAAATGACAAAGATTGAGTCTTTGCTCCTTGTTCTTCGACATTGTAGATCCAAATGAATGATTGCACTCGGGGTAAGAGTGTTGCTTAGGAATTGACATCGACGACTTTGATTCGACTTGAAAAGATTGTTTTATCTCTAAATGCTGCTGGAAACAGCATCCTAGATGTAGGATTTTAGTGGCCTAGGTCTAAGTTTATGTTTGAATATAGGATTGGGATAAGGATATGGAGATTAGGGTTCCATGTCTGACCGGTGAAAAAGGTATGGAAAGGGGCTATTTATATATTAAAATTGCCCTAAAATAGGAAGTAGGTGGTTTGGATCCAATCTAGCGCTGCCAGGTGTCGGTGCCACAGGGCACATCGCTGAGAGCTCTAGGTCCAGTGACACACCCCATGTCACTGACAACAGTCTGACTCGAATCTATACAAGTTTTTCTGGGATTTTTTGTTTTGATATATTTTTTGGATTATTTTACTCGAAAATTTTTTATTTGACAAATCTTGAAATATTTTCTCCTAATTTGTACTAGGACCAACCTATTTTGGGATATTTGATTTCCTAATAATTTAAAACTAGGTGTGTCTATTTCAGATTTTTTTCTTCATTTTTTGGGTTTCTATGATTTTTAGTTTTTTTATTAGATAAAAATTCTAGAGAGAGAGAAGGTTTTGGACATATTGGGTAAAGTTAGCATGAAAATTGACCTAATTGTTTTCCCTTTTTTTGGTTCAAGTAATTATGTATCACTATTGCACATAAATCCCTTTTATAAAGGTAGTAAGTAGACATGTTCGCTTACCTTGTTCCTTGACAAATTTTATGTATTGTAATTACTAGGTAGATGGTGATCCACAATAATTCATTCAAAGCAGGCTAATGGCTGATATATATGCCAATTGTTATTTATTTTCATATTTGAAATAAAAATTTTAAATTTTGAACTAAAAAACAAACTTTCACTATGACTGGGCTCTTTCTCTCTGGCTATGATGATAGAGGGTCACTCTCTCGCTCCAACATGACCACCAAGGGCACTCTCTCTCCATCTGTTTCCATTATAGTTTAAATGTGTTATATTGTGTGCAATTTCTAGTAAATTAGGTTATATTTTTTCTTATGTTAGGGGATATTGGATCTAATGTGTTGCTGCTAGTATGAATTATGAGTTTGAGTGGTAGTGTTGATTTGAGTTTCATGTCCTTTGAAACCATAGGCATTTCATTTTTTAATTTCTTTGGATCATATATTAGTAACATTTTTATGGACTTTTAACTCTAACCATTAGTCCAAATCTTTGAAACTAATTTTTGTGTCAGAAATTGACTTGTAATTTTTCTTCTTGGTGGTAGGGAATTGCAATAAAGCTTGTCATGGAAGGTTCAAAGCTGGTAAAGGACTGATAAAATAGTTGTGCTTTGTAACGAGTCTTGAATTTGTGAAATGAGTTCATAAAGATCAATCAAATATTACGAGATAAGAGGAATAATATCCTTGACTAAGTAAAACCGGCGTTTTAAAAAACGCCGAGTCGAACCGGACTCGCCCTGTTCGACTCGGAATTCGTGAAAAGGGACCGGATCGGTTGAAAAATCGGAAATCATTCGGTTCTAGAGAGAACCGGACGATTCCGCACAGTGATTCGCCGATTCACTGTACGGAATCAATGAGTCCGTACGGTTCTTTTTTTTTTTTTTTTTTTTTGTAATCCATGATAGATTTTTTTGTAATACTTGATCGATTTTTTTGTAATCCATGAACGAATTGTTTTTGTTTTTTTGTAATCCATGATCGAATTTTTTGGTTTTTTGTAACCCATAATAGAATTTTTTGTAATCCATGATCGAAATGTTTGTTTTCTTTTCTTGTAATCCATGATCGCTTTTTT